CACAACAATTCACTCTATCCCCGTCTCCATTCTTGAGTCGAAACGTTCGGTCTTTGTGAAAGACTTGACAATATCGTCACCTCTCTCTTACTAAAGCACTGAAGAATCTATTGGGGAAAACAAAACACGTGGGCCTCGGTAGACAGCATCTCAAAGATCCCCAACGCCACATCAATGCTAAAGATTACATTCTCAGACATCTCCATGGCTGCCCAAGCTCTCTCTGACGGTCTGGCCATCTCATATTACCACATTCACCCAAGTCATATAGAAAAAGGGAACGTTTCACATACATCTCCCACTGCTGGACCTGCTACTCCTATAATCACACCACCAAGGACTGCCCATCAAGGATAAGAAGTTTTGTTCAAAATGTGGGAATGATGGCACGATTTCAGATCCCGCACCATTACTACAACACCAACATGTCTTAACTGCAAGGGTAATCATCATACCCTTGCAGCTAAGTCCCCAAATTCGGGAAAAAAGAAATCATATTGAAAAAAACTAAAGTTCTGAAGAAAACCTCCAATTCACCGACATTACGCTGCAATAACCAAACCACAAACCGGACGCCATCAAGACTCTACACGCTAATCTACAGGCACCATCGCCCAGCAACTCCCTCTCTCCACTCCAGACGGTGCTCCTTCCAAGGTGCTTCTGCATGGTGTATGCACACCTTGCAAACGCAGCAAGCCCCGGCACTTTCAACACCACTATTAACGAACTATTCCGTCTGAACAAACTGCCTGCCTTCAATTTTCCGGAATCCGCACCTTCAGAAGACTTTCCCCAAGGGGCCTTCCCCAAAGTCCTGAACTTTACTGCACCTACAGACCTGTCTCCCTTTCCCAAGCAACTGCTCCTGTAACTTCTAATAACCACTTCCACCGCTGACAACGTTGTCAAATTGCCTCAACCACCGCCTCCCACCTCTCCCAGCTGCTGTTACACAACCATTACACCTCACAGTGCTCCTGTCGAACCTCAGTCACCTGCTACCACCATTGTAGATTCTCCGTGGAATCCACTCCAGAAGGGGGAAGATAACGACGACTCCAGTAAAACCCTCATGGGAAGCCTTACCTTTTACACTTCTCCTTCAAATACTGACACCATGACCTGTACTGAACTCTACCAAAAGGGCCCCGGTGCTGGACAGTCAAGTATGCATGTGAATCACCGCTTCACTTCACGCTCACCCCAAGTTCTTGAGTTCATCAAGCCTTTTACGTTTCACCTTCGCAACCAAGGCAAATTTTACCACTATTGAAGCAGCTTCAAAAAGTTTGAAAATGGCTCCATTGCTAACCTGCCTCCTCAGTTACTCCTATAACTCCCATATGTGTTCTACCCTCTGATGTGACCTAGCCTGCTGCCAGCTACTCAAGATTCAAGACTTCAACTACAAGAAGTTCAATGCAACAGTCCCTGCTATTCCTGTTCTCAAGTCTGCCCCACGATCGCCTTAGCTGCTGGGTTAAGCCCTGGCTCTATTTCTCTTACTAAGAACACTCCTCTCCAGAGCTACTCTTCATCTGTCCCGTCTTCCCCGCTCATCCCATTGGGATCTTACCTAAACTTGTTTGTTTGCTTGCTTGCTTACCAATCAGACTACTCACATGTCCTTAACCTAATCTTGTCTGCTAACAATCTTCCCTCTCTAATCATCCCTCCTTCTTGCTTCTCTTCTAAACCCCCCATAACCTCTCCCATCCCCCTCTTCCTACACCCCCTGCTCTCCTCCTAACTACCCCTCTTCACTCCCACCCCAAAACCCCTCAGCCCCTACCCCTCTTCACATCTACCCCTCCTTCCAACACTCTTCCTCCCCTACCCCTCTTAATTACTTCAACTACTCCCACCACCTCTTTACCCACTTCTTCCTCCATTACCAAAGCTTCCACTCCCTCTGCATCCACCATCGCCCACTCCTCCTCCACCACATCCAAGACTTCATCCAGGTCCAACTCCTCCTCCAAACGAAATCCACTCAACCCTAAACCTGCCCTACTTCTGATATACAGACTAAAGAACATAAAAACAGATCCATCTCTTCCTCCCCCTCCAGGAAACGGACAAACACACACCCACCGATGGCACCACTATCACGGGCTTAAATATAAACTCCCCCGACACCAACTTCGGTATGACGAAGCCATTAAATCATCTTTAAGATGATTCAGTTCAATGTACGTTCTTCACAATTAGACACTTACTGGCCGAGCTCCTTGAAGCAGAGAGGCCAGATATTGTTTTACTAAACAGTATCTGCCTCAAAGCCCCTCAACGTATCCGCCATTATGGTCATACTGCACTACAGTCGCCCTATGATCCCCACGATGGGATTGCCATCCTTGTCAAATCCAACATAAAACGTGAATTTCTCCCAATCCCTTTTATTCAGCAACACTGTCTTGCGGTCAGAATACACACCCACCTTGGCCCCTTCATCTTTTTCACCACCTATGCTCGACCAAACACTATTCTCAACATACACGATCTTTCCTTAGTCTTCAGCTACACCAACACACCAACATACCTACTAGCTGATATGAATGCCAAACACACTGCCTTTTATCACACCAGTAACAACCAACTTGGTCAGCAATTACTCAGCTTCACAAACCACAAACACCTAGTTCACCTCGGCCCAGACTTCAACACCTTCTATAACCACACTGGCCAAGTCAAACCCGACATCATTCTGGCAAACCGAGCCAGCTCTCTCTTTCAACACTACGTATCACCTGGCCCTATTACAGGCTCTGATCACATTCCCATCATCTTACACATCTCCTCCAACCCTATCCTCATCCCGGCCACACCTTCCTTCTCCCACAAGAACGCTGACTGGGATGCCTTCCAACAACACATAGATAATACTAACCTCACCTATGACTACAACAACAAACCCATCTCTGACATTGACACTCAACTTGCTCTCATCCAAGACACCATTACACAAGCAGCCAACACCGCAATACCAAAGAAAACCCACACCACTCGTTATTCCTTCGAACCCTTAATCAGAACAAGAAGACTAATTATCTGCTACCACAACCGCTTCCTCTACAACACACACACATTTAATCAAGTCCGATTAGATCTCACTTACCTCAGAAACAACATACTACACAGTCTAGACCAAGACCACAACAATCAGTGGTCACAGCTACATTCTTTTCAAGATTGATGGACTGACCACATCGACTCAAGGCTGAGGGACTGATTACCTCAAAGTCCTCTTATTTTTCACCGTTCTGCTTTGTATGAACTGATGAAGCCACTGTGTGGCGAAACGTTTCCTCAATAAAGATACCCAAGTTTTGCATATGTGTCTGATTTATCAAAGATTGACAGTTGAACAAATCTCCGCGAACGACACTCAAAATCTAGTCAATATCTTCCATATTTTTGACATAGCCCTAATCCCACTAGTGGACTATGTGAAAGCCATTAACATACCCATACACTCTGCCCCGGCCCAGACTCATGGGTTTCCATGCTCATTAAGATCTGCAAGAAATTTCTATCATATACCTTGAATATTTTATGTATATGGTCATCCCACAGTAGTTAAAAACGATTATGGCAGCAAAGTAATGGCAAATAACTATAGACCAATAGCACTAACGTCCCACAAAAGTCACTGAATGGGTTTTAAGATACAGGATCACTAACCCCTTGGATTCACAGCATTTGTACAGCCCAGGATGTTCTTAGAGCAGGTCGCTGGTGCCCTCAGCAACTACTGGACCACTGTGACATGGTCTAGGATGCACTGGAAGACAAAATGCGGACATGTTACGCACAGACTGCAAAAACCTTCAACAAGTTTGGCCCTGGTGTGAGTGCGCACAAAAATTAATGCAAAGGGAATAGCTGGGAAAGTCGGCAAATGGATTTTCAACTTTCTAACAAATAGAAAGCAAAATGCAAAAATCAACGAAGTTAGAGGCTGTCACCGTGAAAAGTTCTTCTCCCCAAGGCACAGAACTCGCCGCCATCCTTGTCATCATCCTCGTATCTAATTTAATAACAATAATATATTTTTACAAGTACATGTACAAGGTATACAGTCCTAGCTGACATCAATGACATACTACTATATAGAAAGTCGCTTGTTATGCAGAGCATTTCCCGCAAATTAGATTACTTTTGTCCCAGGATGCGACTCACACCAGTCGACTAACTCCCAGGTACCTATTTTATTGATGGGTGAACAGGGACAAGTGTAAGGAAACACGCCCAATATTTCCACTTTGCCGGGAATCAAACCATGGACCCTGAGCGTGTAAAGCTCTCGCTTCACACGCTAAGGGTCCATGGTTAGACTATACTAGAACTTGCATGGGTGAAATTCATTGGATGCATTAAAGCATAAATCAGCCTCCATCAGTCTACAATACCGACAAGATGAATTAGACACTCGAGTAATATCTGGGTATCTTCACTTGTAGACTTTTCGCCAGCCAGTGGCTTCATCAGTACAATACAAGGGCATAATGTTAAGAATGTAGAATTATATGCAAAAGATTAGGTAATCAGTCCCTTATTCTTGGAGTTGGTGAAGAGCACCTTTGTCTTGAAGACTCTGAAGGACAGGCATGAAGTTTGGTGCTTATATACCAGCGTCAACAGCCTTTTGTCGTACATAATAGGGACTGCCAATAGGCCTCGCTGTCTTCAAGAGGGTATGGGAGAGGTTCCTAAACTCAATTCCTGACCTTCCGGCCAGGAGTAACACCGGGAGGCTTAATCTGGGACCGGGCCGCGGGGGCGTTGACCCCGGGAAAGCGCTCCTTGGAGATGTATGACCCCCTCGGCTTTGGAATTCATTATGAAATTAAACATTGTATAATGTAGTGTGTTGTATAATGAAAGTGTTATATAATGTAATGTATTGTGTTGTATAATTAAGTATTGTATAATTTGGTGTGTTGTGTTGTATGATGTATTATTACATTATCAGATAATGTTTGTTCTTTTCACAGTGTTGCCGAGGAGTGTGGTGATCCGAGGTCCCGGAGCCGTCCGTGAGGGCGCGCAGGCGCGGCTGGTGTGTGTGGCTGAGGGCTCCCGTCCACCACCAGCCATCACCTGGCGGGTCAGGAGAGTCATCCACAGAGCACACATGGTAGGTTCCCTCCAGTACCCTCCATGACTCCCTCCACCACCCTCCATGACTCCCTCCACCACCCTCCATGACTCCCTCCATCACCCTCCATGACTCCCTCCACCACCCTCCATGACTCCTTCCATCACCCTCCATGACTCCCTCCACCACCCTCCATGACTCCCTCCACCACCCTCCATGACTCCCTCCATCACCCTCCATGACTCCCTCCACCACCCTCCATGACTCCCTCCACCACCCTCCATGACTCCCTCCATCACCCTCCATGACTCCCTCCACCACCAGCCATAACCTGGCGGGTCAGGAGAGTCATCCACACAGCACACATGGTAGGTTCCCTCCACCACCCTCCATGACTCCCTCCACCACCCTCCATGGCTCCCTCCACCACCCTCCATGACTCCCTCCACCACCCTCCATGACTCCCTCCACCACCAGCCATAACCTGGCGGGTCAGGAGAGTCATCCACACAGCACACATGGTAGGTTCCCTCCACCACCCCTCCATGACTCCCTCCACCACCCTCCATGGCTCCCTCCACCACCTCCATGACTCCCTCCACCACCCTCCATGACTCCCTCCACCACCAGCCATAACCTGGCGGGTCAGGAGAGTCATCCACACAGCACACATGGTAGGTTCCCTCCACCACCCTCCATGACTCCCTCCATCACCCTCCATGACTCCTCCACCACCCTCCATGACTCCCTCCACCACCCTCCATGACTCCCTCCATCACCTCCATGACTCCCTCCACCACCCTCCCATGACTCCCTCCACCACTCCATGACTCCCTCCACCACCCTCCATGACTCCCTCCACACCACCCCCATGACTCCCTCCACCACCCTCCATGACTCCCTCCACCACCCTCCATGACGCCCTCACCACCCTCCATGACTCCCTCCATCACCCTCCATGACTCCCTCCATCACCCTCCATGACTCCCTGCATCACCCTCCATGACTCCCTCCATCACCCTCCATGACTCCTGCATCACCCTCCATGACTCCCTCCACCACCCTCCATGACTCCCTCCACCACCCTCCATGACTCCTCACACCACCTCCATGACTCCCTCCACCACCCTCCATGACTCCCTCCACCACCCTCCATGACTCACCACACCCTCCATGACTCCCTCCACCACCCTCCATGACTCCCTCCACCACCCTCCATGACTCCCTCCACCACCCTCCATGACTCCCTCCACCACCCTCCATGACTCCCTCCACCACCTCCATGACTCTCTCCACCACCCTCCATGACTCCCTCCACCACCCTCCATGACTCCCTCCACCACCCTCCATGACTCTCTCCACCACCCTCCATGACTCTCTCCACCACACTCCATGACTCCCTCCACCACCCTCCATGACTCCCTCCACCACCCTCCATGACTCCCTCCACCACCCTCCATGACTCCCTCCACCACCCTCCATGACTCCCTCCACCACCCTCCATGACTCCCTCCATCACCCTCCATGACTCCCTCCACCACCTCCATGACTCCCTCCACCACCCTACATGACTCCCTCCACCACCCTACATGACTCCCTCCACCACCCTCCATGACTCCCTCCATCACCCTCCATGACTCCCTCCACCACCCTCCATGACTCCCTCCACCACCCTCCATGACTCCCTCCACCAACCTCCATGACTCCTCCATCACCCTCCATGACTCCCTCCACCACCCTCCATGACTCCCTCCACCACCCTCCATGGACTCCTCCACACCCTCCATGACTCCCTCCACCACCCTCCATGACTCCCTCCACCACCCTCCATGACTCCCTCCACCCCCTCCATGACTCCCTCCACACCCTCCATGACTCCCTCCACCACCCTCCATGACTCCCTCCATCACCCTCCATGACTCCCTCCACCCTCCATGACTCCCTCACCACCCTCCATGACTCCCTCCATCACCCTCCATGACTCTCTCCATCACCCTCCATGACTCCCTCCATCACCCTCCATGACTCCCTCCACCACCCTCCATGACTCCCTCCACCACCCTCCATGACTCCCTCCACCACCCTCCATGACTCCCTCCACCACCCTCCATGACTCCCTCCACGACTCCCTCCACCACCCTCCATGACTCCCTCCGTCACCCTCCATGACTCCCTCCACCACCCTCCATGATTCCCTCCATCACCCTCCATGACTCCCTCCATCACCCTCCATGACTCCCTCCATCACCCTCCATGACTCCCTCCATCACCCTCCATGACTCCCTCCAGCACCCTCCATGACTCCCTCAAGCACCCTCCATGACTCCCTCTAGCATCCTCCATGACTCCCTCCAGCACCCTCCATGACTCCAGCACCCTCCATGACTCCCTCCAGGACCCTCCATGACTCCCTCCAGCACCCTTCATGACTTCCTCCAGCACCCTCCCTCTCTCCTTCCCTCCAGCAACCTTCCTCCTCACACCATGGTAGGTGTATACTACCATCCTCTAGGGACGTGCAGGATCTCCTGCCCTCAGGGAAGTGTAAGGATCAGGGGCAAGGATCAGGGGCAAGGATCAGGGACAAGGATCAGGGGCAAGGATCAGGGGCAAGGATCAGGGGCAAGGATCAGGGACAAGGTTCAGGGGCAAGGATCAGGGGCAAGGATCAGGGGCAAGGATCAGGGGCAAGGATCAGGGGCAAGGATCAGGGGCAAGGATCAGGAGCAAGGATCAGGGACAAGGATCAGGGGCAAGGATCAGGAGCAAAGATCAGGGGCAAGGATCAGGGGGAAAGGATCAGGAGCAAGGATCATGGGCAAGGATCAGGAGCAAGAATCAGTGGCAAGGATCAGGGGCAAGGATCAGGAGCAAGGATCAGGGGCAAGGATCAGGAGCAATGATCAGGGGCAAGGATCAGGGGCAAGGATCAGGAGCAAGGATCAGGGGCAAGGATCAGGAGCAAGGATCAGGAGCAAGGATCAGGGGCAAGGATCAGGGGCAAGGATCAGGGGCAAGGATCAGGAGCAAGGATCAGGGGCAAGGATCAGGGGCAAGGATCAGGAGCAAGGATCAGGAGTAAGGATCAGGAGCAAGGATCAGGACCAAGGATCAGGGGCAAGGATCAGGAGCAAGGATCAGGGGCAAGGATCAAGGGCAAGGATCAGGAGTAAGGATCAGGGGCAAGGATCAGGGGCAAGGATCAAGGGCAAGGATCAGGAGCAAGGATCAAGGGCAAGGATCAGGGGCAAGGATCAGGAGCAAGGATCAGGGGCAAGGATCAAGGGCAAGGATCAGGAGCAAGGATCAGGGGCAAGGATCAAGGGCAAGGATCAAGGGCAAGGATCAAGGGCAAGGATCAGGAGCAAGGATCAGGGGCAAGGATCAGGGGCAAGGATCAAGGGCAAGGATCAGGGGCAAGGATCAGGAGCAAGGATCAGGGGCAAGGATCAAGGGCAAGGATCAAGGGCAAGGATCAAGGGCAAGGATCAGGGGCAAGGATCAGGGGCAAGGGTCAGGGACAAGGATCAGGAGCAAAGATCAGGGGCAAGGATCAGGGGCAAGGATCAGGGGCAAGGATCAAGGGCAAGGATCAAGGGCAAGGAACATCCCTGAGTCAGGTACTTGTTCATTTCTTCCAGTTATATAAATGTGGTAGAATTACCGACATTATGTATAGCAAAACAACACAAGTGTAACTAATGTAACATTTTATTGTGGCAACGTTTCGCTCTCCAAGAGTGAAACGTTGCCACAATAAAATGTCACATTAGTTGCATTTGTGTTCTGCCAATTAAATTCATGATCCAGACGGTGTTCAGACTGAACAAGCAGGTTGTTGATGCTAGACTGAAGCATCACAAGTGTGCTGTAGAAACAGCACCAACGGCCACGTTGAACGCTAGCACAGGAATCTAGAGGTGTTTTTCCTTACGTGTACAGTACTGGACACGATGGCAATACATGTACAGTACTGGGTACACGGGGGAGGACACCATAACAACGCACTTAATACTCTCGGTTCATACATGTACGTTTTAGAATCATTAAAAAGCAAATCATACAAGTCGCGGATGATCTTAATCATGAATCACGAAATCGTAATGACACGATTTCAAACAAACCATTCCACGGGTGGGGTTAGAACCCGCGATCAGAGAGTCTCAAAACTCCAGGCAGTCGCATTAGCCACTGGACCAGTGGCTAACGTTCCCTAGCCTTGAATGAAGATGGTCAGTCCCTAGTCTTGAATGAAGATGGTCAGTCCCCTAGTCTTGAATGAAGATGGTCAGTCCCCTAGTCTTGAATGAAGGTGGTCAGTTCCTTAGCCTTGAATAAAGGTGGTCAGTTCCTTAGCCTTGAATGAAGGTGGTCAGTTCCTTAGCCTTGAATAAAGGTGGTCAGTTCCTTAGCCTTGAATGAAGGTGGTCAGTCCCCTAATCTTGAATGAAGGTGGTCAGTTCCTTAGCCTTGAATAAAGGTGGTCAGTTCCTTAGCCTTGAATGAAGATGGTCAGTCCCCTAATCTTGAATGAAGGTGGTCAGTTCCTTAGCCTTGAATAAAGGTGGTCAGTTCCTTAGCCTTGAATGAAGGTGGTCAATCCCCTAGCCTTGAATGAAGATGGTCAGTCCCCTAGTCTTGAATGAAGGTGGTCAGTTCTTTAGCCTTGAATAAAGATGGTCAGTTCCTTAGCCTTGAATAAAGGTGGTCAGTTCCTTAGCCTTGAATGAAGGTGGTCAATCCCCTAGCCTTGAATGAAGATGGTCAGTCCCCTAGTCTTGAATGAAGGTGGTCAGTTCTTTAGCCTTGAATAAAGATGGTCAGTTCCTTAGCCTTGAAATAAAGGTGGTCAGTTCCTTAGCTTGAATGAAGGTGGTCAATCCCCTAGCCTTGAATGAAGATGGTCAGTCCCCTAGTCTTGAATGAAGGTGGTCAGTTCCTTAGCCTTGAATAAAGGTGGTCAATTCCTTAGCCATGAATAAAGGTGGTCAGTCCCCTAGCCTTGAATGAAGGTGGTCGATCCCCAAGTGTAAAGCATG